TTATAAAATGGTTTGTAATATCTAGTAACTTTTATTGAATAAAACATATTATTAGAAAAATGTCTTTATTTGTTTTCATGTCTTTCTACATATTATCCATAATAATATAAATATTAGTAACTATAAATAATTAGTTATAATTAGCATATGTAATCTGGAGAGGGGGTTACACTTGACACTTCTACACTCCTTACATCTGACATCTCAAAGGCTGCATTATATGACAATTCATATAGCTTTTCATTGGTTAGAACCTTTTTACTAGTTAGAATCTTTCATAGGTAGTCCTTTTTGAGAAGTTTGATCATCTTTAGAACTAGGATTCAGGACTGTCCCCACAAACCAATACATAATTTTTTAGCATGGTTTGTACCCAATCACACTTTATGAGAAATTTTCCAAAAAGACATTTATTTCTAAATTGCTTTAAGTCTACCATGCTTAATGTTAAGTCAACTGATGATATTGGATCCTCAATTTTTAATGATAACAAAAAATATTTTCTTTTGAACAAAATGAATTATCTATAAAATATTTTATATCAGACGAAGTGTAAAATGTATATCTTCTGCAAGATGAAGAGAATCAAAAGAAGCATATAGTCTATCTCATTATGTATTACACATATACTTTTAAGTGAGACTAATAGTAATTTCCATTAAATTTTTTTAATAGATTGAATAAGAAAGATATCTTGAAACTCTCAAAATCTATTAAAGAAAGAAAAGTCAAACTATTCGTTAGAACCAAAGGCAAAATCTCGAATATCACAAAAAAGCAAAAAAAGGTTCTACAAAGAACTACTTTGTACTGGAATTGCTTCTACTATCCCCCATCTTAGAAGAAATGATGATAAGCAGTCTCCTAGATCAGATAAGAGATACACATTTTATTGAAAAACATTTAATGCTCTCATTTAATGAAGCAATAGTAACTTCTTTCCTCTAGGATCAACAGAGAAAATAGATGAAGCAACTTATTAGTTTAACTCAAAGTGGTGCAATGATTATCTTCTTTAAAGCTATATATAAAGATTAAGCCTTCAAGAAAGAAAAATTAGGGATATGCATACAAAGAAACACTCATTGTGAATTCTGTATGTTCTTCTTTATAGATTATTTGTACTTTCATTTTTGGTTTCAACACGTCTAGAAGAGACGAAACAACCTTATAATCTTCTGTAACCTTTGTTATAAGAGTTGAGCCTGGAGAGGCTTATTTGAAAAAGAATACTTGGTGTTAGGCCTAGAGAGACTTGTTATTCAAAGAATACTTGGGTAGTCATCTGATACACACTATTCAACCCCTCCTTCTATTGTGTGTCTTTTCTCTATAATTTGGTATCAAAGCTGAACCTTTGATGGGTTTGAGCATCTAACAATGCTAAAAGAAAAGACCCTCGATGAGAAGTAGTGAAAGACAGTACTTATTAGAAGGAACTGCTCTCACAAGGTCTCCTACCTTCGACGGAGAAGACTATCCCTATTAGAAAGATAGGATGAAGATGATCATCAAATCCACCTAGTACCAACTCTGGAGAATTATCACTCAAGGTGATATCATCGAAACTAAACCTGAGAGTCAATATACTTAAGATGATTATAACACTTTGCAGCTAAACCCTAAAGCAAGTTACATACTTGCATGTTCTTTGCCCAAAATTGAATATATCAAGCTTTGTAGCTACTCAACTACTAAGGAAATAAGCGATGCCATCAGGGTAACTTATGAAGGCACTGAAGATGTTAGGCTCAAACAAACGGTTACACTTTAAAGGCAACATGAGTTGTTCCCCATGAAGAAGAGTGAAAACATTGACAAAATGATTATAAGATTTCAAACAATTCTAAATGAGTTAAAATCTCTAGGAATTAAGTTCTCAAAAGCTCATAACAACTTAAAAATCTTGAATAGTCACTACAATTGTTGAAGCACGAGATCTTAAAGCTCTCACTCCCGATTGGATTAAGAACTTTAAATTTAATAGTTCGATCATTGAAATTTAATGCAAGATGGTTGCAGTGTTATGGTTTCACAAAATTGATGAGGTTGGTATTATTCTGCCTAAATTTTTAATGGCAGGGGTTTTCATTATTTTTTTAGTAGCTTAAATCTACTTTTGATCTCAATTTACTCTTTCTTTTCATATATATATATATATAAAGTGATTTTATTGTATGTTCTATGAATTTATTATCTGAGGTATAACCATAGCTGCATACTTACATTTGATGTGAACAATGATGGACACTATAATACACATGTATTATACTATAATATTTGGAGAAAACATTTGGTTACGAAGTTTAGTAAATATGGGTTTGGAGTTGAATGTTGTGTTTTCTGTTGAATTTATTTTCACTATAAGAACATTCATGTTTGGATGATCAATTTAATATGTCATAGTATTACATCAAAATCATAAATGGAGATAAAGACATTATAGCATCAGGTAAAGAATTTGATGTTAAAATAAGGCTGAATTTAATGTCTTGTGATTCTAGTTTTTTTCTTTCTTTTTGTTTTAGATAATTTAATGTGCGACTGATGTAGTTCTTTCATAGATATTTTAAATTGTCAAAGTTTCAATGTCTTAATTTAATAGTCAATATTTTAATCTAAAATATAATTTATATGTCAAAAGTATGTATTTATTATAATTTTTAATTATAAAAATGAATATTTAGCTTGCACAATTAAGATTATATATATATATAATTATGATAATTTATAAAAAGAATTAAATGTTATTTAAAATTTTACTTAATATCCTTATTTTAATTTTTATTATTCATAAATTATATTTACAAAAATACACTTGAATATATAATTTCATCATAGTAATATATAAGATTCTTCTTAAAAAAAGATTTCTTATTGGTTTTTCTCATTCCCTTTTGAGTTCTCTCTTTATCTCTCGCTATCTTTTACTAAGTGTCTATAGAGGGAAGACAAAGGTCTTTATTTAAAGTAAGCAAGATCAAAGAGAGAAATCAACCACTCGAGCAAAACAAGCTACAATCCTTACTTCATCCTCTAAATTTTTTAGAAACTTTCACTTCTTATTTGTATATCTATTTTTTAATTAAAAAGAAGTGTGAAATCTTCCTTAATAAAAGCTCCATCATAGGAGAAATATATGCGATCTTAGCAAACAACAAGAATACAAAATTCATTATTGTAAACATTGTCCCTAACTAGAATTGAGAGTATAATGGTGTAAGGAAGTAGAAACAAATCACAACAAGTGTTGTGTAGTCTCATAGCAGGTGACTGTGAGACTAATTTTTCAATAGGTGGTTGAATGAGGAATTCTCAGTAGGTGATTGATTGTGTAGTAATGTTTTGCATCAAAGGTGATTGAGTTCTTGAACAACAGTTGGTAGTGTTTTACATAGATAATAATACAACTCTCTTCTTATATTCTAACATTCACTTTATAGTCAAGTTAATTATTTTTATGAATTTTTGCATCTCATTTATTGTGTCTAAATTAATCATTACTAAAAAAAATTAAGTTTATTTATTTAATTTTTTAATAAATAATATATATATATATATAACTTTTTAATTATTAAACAATATAGGTTAAATTTTTTAAATCACTTTACTAAGCAAGATGGGACATGATAGACTAAAGGGACTTGACAAATTTCATTTAGTCACTCCTACTTCCAATAACCTTTTATTAATCCATGAGATATTCAAAATATTGTTTATAAAATTGTAAATAGTATTAATGCAATAATTTTTTTTATTTATAATATAGTTATAAGATAATTATATATATTTATCATCTCACATTTTAAAGATTCCAAATATTTAAATTTAAAATAAGTTAAATTCTTTTTAAATTTTAAAATAAGATTTTCATGCTGTAAAAAAAAATACATTTTATAAATAAGGTGAGTTAGAATTTCAAATTCACTTTATTAAACAGACGAGATGCAACAAAACAAATTGACAAAACAAAATACAACACATTTTGTCACTCTCATTTTCAATAACTTTTTATTAATCTACAGAAAATATTAAAAATATTATTTATAAAATTATAAATATTATAAATTTTTATTTATAATATAATTGTAAAATAATTAAAGACATTTAGCATATTACATTTTAAAGTTACAAAATATTTAAATTTAATGTAAGTTAAATTCTTTATAAATTTCAAAATATTTTTTCATATTGTAAACAAATCTTATCTTTTAATAAATATTTTAAATAAAATAAGAAATATATATAAGACTATATTTAATTTGAATACTTTTATTTTTTTTTCTATATTTTCAAAATAATTTAAACAATTAATTATATTATCTTATAATATATAAAAATAATTCTTTAAATAAATATAATTTTAACATATATAAAACTAAAACCATCAAAATCAACCATAATTTATGAGTCAACTCAGCTCATCTTGTCTCATGTCGGGTTGAACTATTTTTTTTTTTTTGGCAAGTTTCATAAATTCAGAAAATTCCACTGCCCAATTATTAAAGAAAATTGAAGAAGGGTTAGGGCTTGCCCGTTTTCGATTTCTTCTCTGTCTCCGCGCTCTTCTATTCGTGAGTCGTGATCCAGCACCGCCACCGTGCACCGTGCTCCGTCGTGCCACGCCACCGCGCACCGCCACGGTACTGGTGATTTTGCATTTGGATACACGCACGTATAGTTCTGATTGTGTATAGCTATTTAATATTTTAATTCTGATTTACTGAATGTGTATAGCTATTTAATATTTTACTGATTTTCTGATTGTGTATATTTTTTAATATTTCAATTTTGATTGTGTGTTGTGTAGCAATTGTGTATAGTTCTGATTTCACGAGCACGCTCTGATTGTGTATATTTTTCTTTTTACTGATTATGTACTGATTTTTACTGATTGTTTATAGCTATTAAATGTTTACTGATTTTAATTTTAACACCCCTAGTTCTTGGACTTTTAGTTCTTGAATTTTAATTTTAATAGGTATAGTTCTTTTTCATAGTGTACTACTGACTGTGTTGTATATGTGGCTGTGATTTATTTAGTCTCTAATTTCACATTATATTATACAGAATGGATTTTGAAACTGTAGATGAACAATGTGTTAACTATAATTTAAATGAATCTTTGCCATCAATCCCAAAAGAGATTGTAAAAGAGGGTAATGATGTTGATAGAGAAAGTAAGAGGCCTAGGGTAACTACTTCTACAGTTTGGGATTATTTTAATAGAATTGGTATAAAAGATGGTAAAGAAAAGGCTAAATGTAATGCATGTGGTTCAAAGTATGTTATTGGTGGTACAAAAATAGGGACTTCAATAATGTTGCGTCATTTGCTGCCAAAGTTTGTGGTGCTAAAAAAATTAAAAGACAATGATGTGGGGAAAATGATAATTAATCATGCTGGGAAATTAAGGTCTAGGGAAATTGACCAAAAAGTTGTAGAGGTGGCAAATGCACTTGTATTGTTCTAGTTCACAATAAATTGAAGTCATTGAAATCAAAAAGAATTAGGAAGAGGGGGCAAAAACTTTGCTCAAGGAATACTGAAACCTACATCAGAGCCCTTTCACCGTCATTGTTCTCATTCTCATTCGCAACCCGATAGTGTGTGCAAGCAAACCTTTCTGCATCGGCGCCATTCTATCTCATAGTTATGTGATTCACGACCTAAGGTTGTTACTCACTTTTCCATCTTCTTTGTATCTGTATGTTCATTCACACCTCATGGTTTCACCTCTTTCCGTAGACCGTTCTACTAACCACACGCTTTTTCCAAGCACCTAATTGCTTTGTCCTTTTTCTTTTCTCTAATTACTCGTTCCGTTGATTTGTTATCTGGTATCTAGTTTCTCTGTGTTTTCCAAATTTGAATTTGGCTTATGTTCAATTTGACTAGGGTTTGGCATGGCAAGGAGACAAAGCAGTAGCGAGAGTGAGAATGACACGAGAAAATGAAGTGGTAGCGAATCTGAGCATGTTAAGAGGGATAGGCATCGACGTGGTGGTGGGAGTAGTAAGAAGAAGAGTTCCAAATCAGACCGCTATCATAGGGAGGGCAATGGTGGGAGTGATTCAATAGAAGAAAGAATGCGAAGTGAGATGAAGAATAGAGTTAAGGAGAGAAAGGAGGAAGCTGAGAGCTCTGAAGAGGAAGGTCAGATTGTGAATAACAAGAGGGGTAGGGAAGAAAAGGAAGAGGATGAGAGATTGCGGCGGTGTTATGATGGACATGGTGGGAGAGATGATGAAGGAGATGGCAGTGGTGGTAGGGAGCCTCGTCGAAGGGATAATGAGGGTGAACGACGAGGGGAGAAGGATAGTCACAAATTGGATTGTGGTGATAGATGGCGTGGAGGTGAGGAGGAAGATAGATGGAAAATTAAGGATCACCATGGGCGTCATGATTCAGAGGAAGAGGATCGTCGGGAGCTAGCCAAGAAATCTGAAAGGGTTAGAGATAGGGAAAGGGATAGAGATAGATATAGGGATAGGGATAGGAGGCGTAAAGTTGAAAAGGGTGGTAACAGTGATAGGGATCGTCGTGCACATCATGATTTAGAGGAAGATGATAGGGGGTTTGCCTAGAAATTGGAGAGGGATAGGAGGCCTAAAGTTGAAGAGGATGGTGACAATGAGAGGAACCGTAGAGAGAAGGATGCGAACAAGCGACAAGTAGAAAGTAGGAAGAGAGAGGATGGAAATGGAAGAATGGTTGAAGATGCTAATCCACAACGACCAACAACAATCATGGGAGGTAACCATTTGAGAAAGAGTGGAGGTGTTTACATTCCCCCATTTAAGATGGCAATGATGATGAAAGAAGTTGAGGATAAGAGTAGTGTAGAGTATCAAAGGTTAACTTGGGATGCTTTGAGAAAAAGTATAAATGGGCTTGTAAAAAAGGTTAATGCTACTAATATAAAAAATATAATTCCGGAATTGTTTTCAGAAAATTTGATCCGGGGAAGGGGACTCTTTTGTCGGTCATGTATGAAGTCACAGATGGCATCTCCAGGATTTACGGATGTTTTTGCTGCCTTGGTTGCTGTTGTTAATACTAAGTTTCCTGAGGTGGGGGGTCTTTTGCTAAGAAGAATTGTTTTGCAGCTTAAGAGAGCTTATAAACGGAATGACAAGGTATGTGATGACTCCACTTTTTCTTATAATTTAATGCGTGTTCTTTAACTGGGATCATGAACACCCTTTGCAGGTTTTCATTCTAGCAGCTTCTTAACAAGCAATGCTTCTCTCTTGTTGAAATCACCTTTCAAGAAAGCTCTATTCACTATGCCTTAATGTTTGACGGATTCGCCCTCCTCAAGTTCTCTTTATTAGCTTACAACTCGTTAGAAGTGTGGATCCATCCATTCCTAGTCGTTTCTCCTATTCTGCTTGGATTTCACGGCGAGATCATAAATTTTTGGGTTGCGACAGATGGCGACTCCACTGGGGACGTTTAAAGAGGGTCAGGACCATATAAATAATGAAGTTAATAAAATAAGAATAATAATTTAAATATTTTTCCCCTTTACTTTGTTTTTTTATTTGTTTGGCTTTAATATATGTTTGTTTGCTTAAATTCTGCACTTGTTTGAATAAAAATTATACACAAACCTTTGCACACAACAGGTCCCCCTACACCTGGGGGCATGAGGGTATTAAACATAGGGAGTGGTTAACGTACGACCGGCCCAAATTTGGCCTTGGAGCCTGCGAGCCTTGTCAAAAATCAGACTTAAGGTGATAACCGGTTACTCTAGCCTAAAATACTGCGACAAACCTTAGAGTTTGCCAGGTGACGACGATAGAGATATTGGGTCCCTATAATGGGGGCACCTTGGGGGCCTTAAGACTAGTGAGATTAGAACTATCTTATACAAAGCATTTTTCTTACAGGGACCACAAACTAAGGATTTGAACGTGACTGTTCGCAGGTGTACGATGATTGAGCATATGTGTGTGCATTTGTTTGTATTATTTTCTTCTAATAAGATGGACTGGAATTTTAAAATAAGCAAACAGATAATAAAGAATTAAAAAAATAATAATAATTTTATACCCCTTTGTACATTCTTAGGTCATCATTCCATTAACATCATATAGGTAGTTTCTTTTTTTTTTTTATTAAAAATGAATAAAAGAAATATCATCTTCATGCATCATTTCCCTTTAGATAATAGAATCATGATAAAGATCAGGAAAAAGAAATGACATGCATTTGCTAAAAAATGAGTCCCTAAACTTCTCTTGCTTTTTAGTTTTTTTGTTGTTGCATGTTTCACAGAGGACCCAATTGCAGATAGATTAACTACATCTTCACCCAGAAATATTTCTGAAAGTAAGCATGTTGCTTCACTTAATGATGACTTTCAACTGCAATTAAGTTATATCGAATCTCGTTAATATAGCACCCCATATCTTGCATTATGACCCATCCCATATTTGGCTTAATCTCTTTATTTTTGACATCTGTATTTAATATAGAAAACAACATGTCTTATCTCTTTGGTGTTTTTGTTTCTTTCTAATATTTCTTTTTATTTCAAGGGAATATTCAAAATTTAGGTTAAATAAAAAAAATTAGTAGATATAGTACCAAGTATTTCTGTTGAAATATAGTGGAGAATTGTTATAGTCAACTTTCAACAGTCACTATTCTAGATTACTAAATGCTTAATTTTGCTACTAGGCTCATGTGTCAACACTTTTATTTTTTATCTTTTGTGTTGATTATTAAAGTGGTTATCATTTATTCATTAAATATAGTTGTGCAAATAACAATATTTTTAAGTTATATTTAATCTCATTATTATAGCACCCCCATATCTTGCATTATGACCCATCCCATATTTGGCTTAATCTCTTTATTTTTGACACCTGTATTTAATATAAAAAATAACATGACTTATCTCTTTGGTGCTTTTGTTTCTTTCTAATATTTCTTTTTATTTCAAGGGAATATTCAAATTTTAGGTTAAATAAAAAAAATAATAGATATAGTATTGAATCTTGGCACTTTTTGATCATATAGATTAGTATTTAATTCAGTGTCACTTGGGTGCGCAATAATTTGGTTCTTTTGTTTTATTTGTTATCTAATTTGATGCTCTTTTAAAGAACTAGTGCTCCTATTGCATCATGTCTACTGTTATAAATTATAAGCATAGGCTGCATCTGTATGCATTTACACAGATTAGACATTAGTTTCCAGCATCTGATGTATCATCCTCCATTTTTTTTTTTGGCTCATTCAGTTGTACCTTTTAATTACTTAATAATCATAATTTTGTAATTTTGTATTATTGGCTGCAGATGGAATTGTGCATTATGCTTTTGGAATGTTGCAGCCAAGAGAGAACTTATCTTCGATATTATGGTCTTCTGGGGCAGCGTTTCTGCATGATCAACAAAGTACATCAAGAAAATTTTGAGAAGTGCTTTGTGCAGCAGTACTCGATGATTCACCGACTGGAAACGAATAAACTGCGAAATGTGGCAAAGTTTTTTGCTCATTTACATGGCACAGATGCACTACCTTGGCATGTTTTATCATATATACGATTGACTGAAGAGGACACAACTTCATCTTCACGTATATTTATTAAGATTCTCTTCCAGGTACCGAGAATCAAACTCCAATATTCCTATTTTTTGTTTTTCTATGCATTTGCGTTATTATTTCACCAATTTTGAATTATGGTTTAGAAACATACTGTTTTATTATGAGACCTGCAAAATCTTTTGGGGCTCGTTATCTTCTATATTGCATAAATTATGCGCATCTGTATGTGGATGTTGATTTCAGTTTGTAATGTTGCAGGAATTATCAGAACATCTTGGAATTCGGCTGCTAAATGAGCGGTTAAATGATCCAACAATGCTAGAATCTTTTGAATCCATATTTCCAAAAGACAATCCAAAAAACACAAGGTTCTGCATTAACTTCTTTACATCTATTGGTCTAGGCGGTCTTACTGAGAACCTACGTGAGTATTTGAAGAATATGCCACATCTAATCATGCAACAACAGAAACAAGTTTCAGAATCTGAATCAGATGATGAGTCAGGGAGTTCTGATTCATCGGATTCAGGGACAGCCATTTCAGAGTCAGACTCGGCAAGTTCTGATGAAAGTGACAGTGGGAGTGACGGAAGACGAAGAAAGCGGAGGAGAAAGTGAAGCAATTTTATGCTATTGTTGATGACCCTTGCATCCACAAAACTGTTTCTTGAGTATACATGGTTTCTCAATCTTTAAATCACTGAATTAACTAGCCCTTTTTTATGTATTTGAACAGTTGTATAAAGAAAAATACTAACGTTTTGCAAGAGTATATATATTTGAAAAAAGATGAATTTATTCATCTTCAACAAACAATGCATTATAACAAATCTAAATGTGCTTCCTTCTAGCTTTGAGTTGTTTTATTTGGTATGTGACTTTGTTTTAATCGGGCATATCAACCATCCTCTCTTATTTCCCTAAAGGGAAGTGTAGGCACTAAAATTTCCTCTTGCAATTATTGTATTTCTAACCCTCCTTGTATTGCATTCATGCATACTTATAATAAATTCAGTTTATTTATATCTCTTTTTTTTATTTTAATATATATAAAACATGCTTTTCAAAATTATCCTCGTATTTTTCCCACTTTCCCCCCGTAATATTAGCACTTCTCTATTAAGTACAATCATGTAATAATTTTGCGTAACATAAACGTTAACATTAAAGTAGTAACAAACTAATATCAAGGACCAAAAAAAAAAAAAAAAACCATATTGCAAGAACTATTAAAGTAGACAACTATATTTTTTTAGACTAAAAGCATGAGTAAACATAGTTTTGTTTATTCCTTTAATATGAATGCAAGAGCGTGTTTGACTTGAATCAATTTAAACTTAACTTTTCCTTATAAATAAAAGATGAGCCATTCAATTTTAAATTAAGCTTTAGCCTAACTAGACATTCATTTTGTGTGTGAGGGTTGGATTTGTTGGTAGAAAGTGTCTGCAGGGTCTTTAACTTAGCTAGGATGGTTGGATCTTGATATGTTTGATTGCTGGTGTGCTTTACCATTGATGGTGTATGTCTTGATGAGGTGAACGTAGTTCAAGTAGTAATAAAAAGTGATTTAAAAAAGCATAGTACTCATGCTTTTGCGTTGTCAAAATATAGTCAACGGAGCCTGTTGGTATGTGAGTCTTTAATAAAGTCCACGGAACGTGTTTGTGGATCTTGAACTCCACTAGGAAGAACCTTCTCAGAAAGTGCATGAAATTCTAAAGAAATGAGTCAACAGAATTATAGCATATTAAACTTCTCATAAACGAGCATGAAATTAACAGTATATTTACATCTTACGTCTCTTGTCCAATTCTTCTTTCATATATAGTTGAAGAAAGTCTAAACGTTTTGTCATGTGAACTATACAATTGCTGTCTAGCTATTTTTGCTGCGCCTAAGAAGTTCTTGTGTTGAAGTTAAGAATCAGTGTATTGTTCTCTGTTGGAAGAAGTTGGATTGGTTCTGTGGTAAGGTCTTCTTCTCTATTTTCAGTATTACATTTACCTCTGAATAAAAATAACAGATGATGAAATGATATGGCTAATTTGATATTTTCCTTGTTTTCCCATGTTTTAGCTGAAAGAGACTGCCTAAGAATGTGAATGTTGCCTTAGTGGAATGGAGTAAACCCTCAATTTCATTCCTAAAGTATTACTCTCTCCACTGAGTGATCCTTAAAGTATGGAAATTATATAATTAATCCCTCAGTCCTCAGATATTAGAAATCATTAAGTAGTCCATCAAGTACTGAAAAATCTACCAAATTTGTCTCAAATTTAGGAGTGAGAAATAATTGAGCTACTAAATCGATGGTTTATTCAAATGTTGCTTGAGAAAATAGATATTGGTCTTCAAAAGATGAGTGACAACATGAACTTTTCATTCAAGTGCATAAAGACATGCATCTATATTCTTGGTATTATTTGGTTAAGCTCACTTTGGATGCTTCCATTATTTTTTTTAAACTAATAGCTCTAAGAACATGAGCTTCTAATTGCTGTTCTGATTCATCATCTAATTAGATTAGTGAATTGTGGCTGATATGTTAGTTTAAATTTTTAATCTAATGTTGTGTTAAGCAAGGGTTAAGCTAGAAAGTATAAACAATACAAGCACCTTGGACTTACGACTTGCTGCTACCTGTTTAATGTCTATGCTGGTGTGAACATGTGGCTTCCAAATTTATGTTCTTTTCCATCTAATGATCTCAATGCTTATTGGGAAAAACCCAAGTCCCGCCAATCCTAGATCATTAAAAAGGGTCACTCACCATTTATCCACGTACCAAGTCCAATAGTGCTGGACGTGAGGGAGTGTATTGGGAAAAACTCAAGTCCCACATCGACTAGAGATTAGGCAATTGAATAGTATATAAGTGGAAAGAAACCCTCACCTTACAAGCTGGTTTTGTAGGGTTGAGTTAGGCTTAAATCTACCATTCTAACATGGTATCAGAGCCATTTAGATCCACTTTAAAAATGGGTCACCCACCATTGATGCATGCCTCATAGGTGTGAGGGAGTGTATTGGGAAAAACCCAAGTCTCGCCAATCCTAGATCATTAAAAAGGGTCACTCACCATTTATCCACGTACCAAGCCCAATAGTGCTGGACGTGAGGGGGTGTATTGGGAAAAACCCAAGTCCCACATCGACTAGAGATTAGGCAATTAAATAGTATATAAGTGGAAAACAACCCTCACCTTACAAGCCGGTTTTCTAGGATTGAGTTAGACTTATATCCACTATTCTAACATGGTATCAGAGCCATTTAGATCCACTTTAAAAATGGGTCACCCACCATTGATGCATGCCTCATAGGTGTGAGGGGGTGTATTGGGAAAAACCCAAGTCTCGCCAATCCTAGATCATTAAAAAGGCATTTATCCACGTACCAAGCCCAATAGTGCTGGACGTGAGGGGGTGTATTGGGAAAAACCCAAGTCCCACATCGACTAGAGATTAGGCAATTAAATAGTATATAAGTGGAAAACAACCCTCACCTTACAAGCCGGTTTTCTAGGATTGAGTTAGACTTATATCCACTATTCTAACAATGCTTCTCTCAGTGTATGCTTGTTTAAGCATAATTTAGTGATAAACCCTACTATTATTAACAATAGTTGAGCCATGCATATTGGACTTCAACCTTATTTTGTTCGATAGAAAGCAAGCAAACATTGGTCAAGACAAACATTTAAGGTTTTATTCCAGGCCAGTCAAGAAAAGTTAAATTACAAATCTAAGTTTTTCCTCTATTTTAACAATCTTTGCTTTCGGGGTCCTAAGTGGGGTTATACAACTGAAAATCTAGAATCACTTAGCCTATAAATTCTCTGTTCATCTACATGAATTATTAATTTGAATTTGAAGTGTGGAGTTTAGGCTTCCACTGATACTGCTATTGTGTAATGTGAAGTTTAGATTCATTTTTCATGTTATTAATTAGGCTTTTTATAACTATATTTTTTTATTAGTCAGAATTACAATGACGACAACAGACTCAAAACCTAAAACTCTATGCATACTACCAAACTTTTTACCACTAAACCGACCCCAGTGATTTTACTTTATGTCTAATTGTTTACCGAGCTTCTGTTATGTTCAAATGTACTATTAGCTTTACCAAGTCAAAAGCAATTTCCTTGGATCACAAAACTCCTGAAAAATCATATAACCTTTGAGTTATTCCATCTCATATTAGAGAGATTTATGAATTCCAACTAATATTATTAAGGACAAGTGACAAAAACACATTGAAACAAAAAACTTCTTTTACTTCTTCATTTGTAGTGTTATAATCATTGCAGGTGCAGCACTTGGAATTCATATTGGCTGAGCAACGAATGATAAGTGTTGTTGCTTCTTCCTCTAACTCTTCTGTATGTCGTCTTCAAAAAAATATGACGTTTTTCTAAGCTTTCAAGGTGAAGACACACGCAGGAACTTCACAAGCCATCTTTACGAAGCTTTGAGACAAAAGAAAGTTGAGACCTATATAGATGAACAACTTGAAAAGGGAGATGAAATCTCACCGGCACTCATCAAAGCCATCAAAGATTCTCATGTATCTATTGTTGTCTTCTTCGAGAACTATGCTTCTTCAAAGTGGTGCTTGGGTGAACTTATCATGATTTTAGATTGCAAGAAAGATCAAGGACAAATTGTAATACCAATATTTTATGACATAGATCCTTCCCATGTGAGGAAGCAAACTGGGAGCTATGAGCAAGCCTTTGCAAAACATGTGGGGGAATCCAACTACAACAAATGGAAAGCTGCTCTCACTGAAGCAGCCAATTTATCTGGGTGGGACTCTCAAACTTATATGTAAATAAAATGATAATGAGATAGACAATGTATTATTTTAAATTGAGTGAACCAAATTTGATTCTAAATTGAGCATGATTTTGCAGAAAAACACCTTTCATAGTATTTTATTTAGGAAGTTCATTGCATAGAGAAAGCAGAGGCATTGATTATCTCCTCTAAGCCATCGCATTTTCCTTCCCCAATTGTTTCTTTGTTATTCTCTAATCTCTACTACGCCACCATACTGATCATAATCATTTTATAGTTCTGTTTTATTTTCTAATTTGTTAGACTTGTAACACGATCATTTATTTTTCTTTTGTTTTCCTTTTCATATGCTAGGACTGATCCTGAGTTACTTAAGGACATCGTTGAAGATGTTTTGAGAAAATTGCCTCCTAGATACCAAAACCAACGTAAAGGATTGGTTGGAATTGAAGAACATTGTGAATGGATTGAATCATTACTGAAAACTGGACCAAGTGAAGTTAGGACCCTGGAATATGGGGTATGGGTGGCATAGGTAAGACAACTCTTGCTTCTGCTTTATATGACAAACTGTCTCACGAGTTTGAAGGAAAACGTTTCGTAACAGATGTATGGGAAGAATTCGATATGAGTAAGCTTCAAGATAAAAAATCTCTCATTGTGTTGGATGATGTGGCTACTTCAGAACAATTAGAAACATTAATAAATTATGATTTGTTGAGACCAGGAAGTAGAGTCATTGTTACAACTAGAAATAAGCAAATACTTGGCCTAACTGATGAAATATATCATGTTGAGGAATTGAGCTCTCATCACTCTCTTCAGCTCTTCTGTTTGACTGTTTTTGGAGAAAAACAACCTAAAGATGGATATGAAGATTTGTCAAGAAAAGTAATTTCCTATTGCAAAGGTATTCCATTAGCTTTAAAAGTGATGGGTGCAAGTCTTCGTCGAAAAAGTAAAGAGGTATGGGAAAGTGAACTGAGAAAACTCCAAAAGATTTCCAATATGGAAATTCACAAGGTATTAAAATTAAGCTATGATGGCT